TGGAGCCAACTAGACTTGGAATACTGTATACAGGGCTTCTCCCTATTTCACGTGCTGTTCTTTGGTAGATATTGTAAGAAAGATTAACTTCATAGAATGCCTTTTTTAAATCTCAGTTTTGTTTTTAGATGTACTGGATACAGAGAGAAGAGATGTGTTTAGGTTCTTCTGAGAGGCATTGTGTTACAGAGAATTGAACAGGGTGCTGGGGGCACGGGGATAGTGGGTAATCCCACTTCTATTTTTGAGTCATGCAACTTTGTGTAAGTCATACTAGATCAAATTCCAATTTTATTTTACAATTTAATTGACTTCACATGAGTTGTACATTCGCTCACAATTAGACCCTGTGTCTGTTACTTCCACTGTCAAATGTTGATAATGCTTACCTACCTCACCTGCAGTCAGAAAGGGTTCCCAATGAGTACAAGTTATTGTTTCTCTTGTCATCCACTTCTTTTAGGGCTACTTATGTCAGGTAACTCACATCATTCTGAATTGTAGGAATGAGTATGTCATGGAGAATATGATGATGATGTCCTTTTAGCAGAAACTGAGATTTGTGATCTGCTAGGTGAAGAAAAAAAAGAGATGTGTACAGGTTCCTGTCATGAAACAACCATTTGACTAGAACGCCATGTCAGTTAGTTACTGCAAATGTTACTGTATGTACTGCTATCAATTCCTGCAATCTCTTTCCTGTTTTCTTTATTGGAAATCAGACCCCTGACAACAATCAGTTACATCTATGGACCTTTAACTTCTGTGGATTTACACCAAGGGAAAATCTGGCCCAGGAACAATAATAATTCTATAACTGGACACTTCACTCAGTTACATCATATTGTAGAACTGCTTCCTTGTCCAGTGTTTAGGGTAAATATTGTGACTGAAAATTCTGTTTTTCATTTTCTTCATTTAGAAGTGAAACTTAATTAAAAGATGATGGCTAATACAGTAGCACTATTTATTTCTGGATAGATGCAGCAGATGAGTGCTTAGTTTTCATTGAACTGGAGATCATAATGTGATAGGGTCTTTTTAGTTTAATATTCAATAATTTAGTTAAATATCTATATATTAGCCTTGCTATTGAAAGGGGGTTACGGAAGTAATCTATTTTTATACTGAATATTATCGTTCTATTCCTACTTTTTCTATAGATGGTCTTTATTGCATGGATTTCAAAGGATGCTGCTCTTTCCATGGGACTGTATTTAATTTTGTCACTCAAAAGCTTGTCTCTTCACCAACAGAAGTTTGTCTCAGAAAATATATTACCTCACCCACCTTGTCACCCTATCCAATGTTACTGTTATTTGAGACCCTGATTCAACAAAGCACAAACATGTACTTAACTTTAAGCATGTGCTTTAGTCCCATTTAAGTCAATGGAACTTAAGCAAGTGCTTAAATAAACTTCTGAATCAGGGCCTGAGTTAGGTGTTTCATGCAGCCTTTCATGTCATATCACAGTCATATCTGATTTATAATACTGTGTGTATATCCTTCATAATTTCATAACATAGCAGTAGGACACTGTGCCTATGCTTCTTTTTGCAAAGTTATAATGTAAAGGTATTATAACATTTTGACCTTTTATTATATGAACACACCTCACTGGAAGACACATCTGGAAATAGTTTGTTATTAACTGTACTGTATTTTAATTATATGAATTATAAAGTACATATTTTGGGTATTTTTAGATGCACATTTTTAAAGATGTAGTTATGTGTTCACCTGGCTGGTGTACATCAGGTGCATGCAGAGTTGTGCCTTTAAAAATCTGTTCTGTAACTGCTTCGTGATAGAGAAATTTGCAGAGACATAGGTTCATATATTATTTTATATTCAAAATAACAATTTGTTAACATTTGATGACTGTGGTTATGGTGCAGAGATTTATTTCCTTGTCAAGGCAGTGGACTCAGGCTTTTACTTACAGCAGGAGGGCTGTTTTAATGCTTGTCCTAGGTAGTTATTTCATTCATCTAATCCATTCTGAACTGTCTTCCTCTTTATTCTTCCAGTAGTGTGATCTTTACTACTACGGTATTCTAGCTATTAGCTGTTTAGTGTGAGATAGACCTTCACTGTTTCACCCTTTCATGAGTATTATTATTTTTCCGACTGTCAAGGCTATTATGAGCCATTTTGTCAATAGTAAGGGTGTATTAATTTGGAAGGACAAGGAGTCATATAATATCTTGATTAGGGGATATTTATTTCTAAGGCTGTGGAGAGGTTATTAAGTATTTCTGGCCAAAAAAGTCAGTTCAGAATATGAAAATCTTATGTGTGAAATACTAGCTGTTTGCTGATGTTCAGAGAATTGTAATCCTTCGCAGACGTTTCTTTTATCCAGTCATCCTGATTTTGAGGGTGACTTCAACAATCATAGTTTGTAGCAGGGGATCTTTGCATGGATCCATAGAGCCAGTGTCTGGTTGTGTTGACAACCATGTTGTTTCTGTACCTGGCGCTGTGCTTCCAGCTGTGGAACGTCTTCTTAAAGTTGCAGACACCCATGCTTACAGCATGGTGCCGTGCTATGTGGTCAGCTGCCAGATGCTCGAAGATCAGATCAGAACTATTCATCGTATGCAGATTTTGTTTTGAGTATCTTTGAAGTGTTTCATCTCCCCTCCACATTTACAATTGCCAGAGCTTAATTTGGAATATAGTATTTGTTTTGATAGACAGGTCTCAGGCATATGAATTATATGACCAGCCCATCCCAGCTGGACATAAATCAAATGAGCCTCAATACGAACCAAACCGGCTTTTGCCAAAACTTCTGTGTTGGACACCAAATCCTGCCATTAAATGCCCAGAAGATGTTATGTGTGTCACAAATGGAAACTGTCAAGCTTCTTAATGTGCCATTGATAACAGGGCCATGTTTCACATCCATAGAGTAATGTTGTGAGGACAATAGCATTATACACTTTGATTTTTTTCTGTAAACAGGTTCTGTTACTTCCAGATTTGGTGATAAAGGTAACCATATGCAATACTGGCTTTCTTAATTCATGGGTCTGCAAAGATGTACTTAGAGGCTTATTGCATTTTTACCCTGATAGAGTCCTACTTTATATACTCTATGGGGGGAGGAGGGCTTTACAGTAAAACCTATTGTGTATCTTTCTGAAAACCCCTTAATACTGCTGAGTTGGTGTTTGTCATTTTCCGTACTGTTTTCCAGTCTCTTTTGTTGAACTGGAGTTTTTAGTTCATTTGCCTATTTGATTTTTTTACTTTTGTGGCAACAGATTTGATAGAGTTCAGCTATCAACATATATTGTATAAAACCTGCTCTATTTCCAAAACTCTTTCTTGTATGGAACTCTTAGAGGTTCTGAACCTACATTCTTTATACACCTAAAAGTTCCACTGCTTCCAGTGATGGCTTTTGGTGCCCAAGGAATGCAAGATTAGGCTAATTATTTGCACAGCTCTGGCTACTAGTGGTAAAATGGGTTGCTTTGCAATATCCTTGCAATACCGTTTGTTCTCTGTGTTGGCAGCCTTACTGATGTGCCAAATAGTGTATTATGGAACACACACCATTGGCTGTTCTTCTCAAATGTAGATTTCATATGTCTTCAATCTTTGGTTGACTTATTGTGAGTAGATGACCGATGAGAGGAATGTGTCATGAATGTATTAACAAAATAAAGTGTGCTTTCATTGATTTTTTTATAAACTGTGAATGCAGAATCGTATATGCAAACAGTATATGTCTTGTGTATATATTTTTTATGTATATATACATACTACATATACAATGTACTCTATATATTTCATATGCCTGATGAACATATAATGTTTTTAGATATTGCTTTTTGTCTTCCCGTTTTATTTTAGTTTTATATTATTTTCTTTAGTAGCTTGGCTATTTTGTAACAACTGTGATCAACTATGCCTAGTTGTTTGACTTCTTTCAGTGAATCTGCCTACTCTGTAAGCATGCAGGTGCATCACTTTAACATGCATTAGTTTTGTTGTATATTCTTGGTTGTTGCCTTGGCAGATCTTCTGCGTCAGGAAAAAAATCACCTCTTGCCATTTTCTTTCACAGTAGCACAGAACACACAAACGATGTCTACTCAAACTATCATTCAGATATCAATATCCATAAAAACTCCTCCCAACTTCTGACCTGCAAAAGGCCATACATGCTGTGAAACATTACATCTTGCCTGGGCCTATGCACCATGAAAGGACAAGAGTTGTTACTGAATCTGACCACAAAAACAACTGTCCTTAAAGCGATGATACTAATGGACTAGATAGACAACAGTGAATTAGATGACTAGATGGCAGTGGTTACTCGTAGCTTTTAGGTGATTTATCTGTTTGTTTATTAAATTGTAAATCCCGTTTTTGGCACCTGTGACCGTTCTGCTGGAAGTAGCTGTACTTAGGCTTCCCCGCTCTTGGAATGCAGTGGAGATGTGAGTTGCCTCCCCCTTCCCCCTTAATTTCAGAGACAAAAAGATCCGTGTAGCCCAGAGCCTTTACACTGGCCTCTCTGGAGGGGAAGAGAAGAAGCCCCAGCTGCTCTTTTTTTAACTACAAAGCAGGAAGACAGAAGAAACATAGGCCAGGGGAGGGACTGCCAATGAAGAGTGAGAAGAAGAAATAAGATAATCCAACCACATTCTGCACTCAACTGGACATGTGGATGTCTCATTGAGATCAATAGGAGCTCTACGTACATATCTGGGGATAGAATTGAGTCCATCATGTCTAGTGAATCCTGACACATGGTTATTTAGCATGGAAGTTGTTTTTGCTTTCTTTTCCTGGAGCTATAAATGTTATTTCTTGAAAGGGTACTAGTTACTTTAATGAAAGCATAACTTAGTATTTATATAGTGTTTTACATAGTTTAGGGAGACTAACTTATTGCAGTCAAAATCTGTATTATTTTAAAGTAAAACAAAGAATCTAATTATAAAATGTTTTATCACATTTATTTATTTATTTTGTAGACAAAGAGGGAGAATCCGAACAAAATCAGCCTGCAGAGGAACCCATACCAGAAGAAATTAATGAAAAAAAAAGGAACATAAAAAGATGATTTCAAATGTCATGTCATGTGCTATAGAGGTACGAAAGATGTTAATACTTAATTTTCCCCTTATTCTCTTCCTTTCTGATTTGCAAAATGAGCTGGATTGAAATGATTGGCTTTAAGATTTTTTAAAAAACAATAGAAACTGGAGATTAAATATGCCTGATTCTGAAAATATCTCACTAGTGTGCTGGAATATAAGGCCCATGCCTGCACTATAAACTTACACTGGTATAACTACGTCGCTGAAGGGTGTGAAAAATCCACACCCCTGAGTGATGCAGTTATATTGAGCTTACCCCACTCTCATGGAGGTGGATTAACTATGCCTATGGGAGCAGCTGTCCCATCAGCATAGTAGCATCTTCACTGAAGCACTACAGCGGCACAGCTGCACTGCTTCAGTGTTTTAAGTGTAGACCTGCCCTAAGGCTCTGGCAATTGTCCAAGAATCAAGTGAAAATGTTCCTTTATTCCTATATTGATTTGTGACCCACATTTTTTGAAGGCATTCTTTAAATTTTTCAGTAAATGTATAGATTTTTGAGGCCAGAAGAGACCATGATAGTCTAGTCTGACCACCTGCATAACACGTCATAGAATTTCACCCCACCCATAACTTGTGGCTGAACAAGTGCATACCTTTTAGAAGCCATCCAGTCTCAATGTAAAGATTCCAACTGGTGGAAAGGGTACTGAATTCCTTAGTAAGATGTTCCACTACTTTATTATCCTCCCTATTAAAAATGTCATCTTTCCAGTTTGAACTTTTTTGACTAAATGAAGGAAATATATTTTGCCTCATAAATGTAATACTTTACTTTCTACCTATATGTAATAACTATATGATATAAAATCATGGTGTTCGATCCATATTATTATTGCTAAAATTACTGCTTCAGGGCATGGATTTCCCCTACCCTTTTCTTGAGGATACCATCGTATCTGGTAGCATCCATTGATTCAGGGTGTCTAGTATCCTGTTTGAAATGCTGTTCCTGAGGATGGGAAGGAAGGTGAAAGCCATGACTGAAAGCCATGAAAGCCATGGTGAAGCCATGACTGTTCTACAATCATCTCACAGTAGCTGCTGGACACTGGCCTGATCCTCAGGGCTGGCCAGGTTCTCCTGGACACAGAACTTGAGTGGGGGCCTGAGGGTGGCTTTATGCTGTCTGTGGCTTTTCAGGAGGAGTTTAAGGTACAGGTTTTGATCTATAGAGCCCTAAATGGCTTAGCGCATACTGACCAAAGAAATCACCATCCCAGCATGCCATGCGTTTGTGTTGTAAATCAGTAAAGTGCTTGAGCTGATGCCCTGCTGATGTAGCAAGAGGCCTCAGGGCTTTGGAACCTCCCTCGGTCCATAGCAGCACAGAGGTAGGGTATGCTGCAAAGCTAGTCTTCAACCTTTTTTGAAAAAAGCCGGAGGAGAATTGTTGGAGCAGGATGGTGATTTAAGTTGGCTAGCTCGCTGGCTATAGGCTGTACTGAGCAGTATAGCTGCTGTTTAGGGATACTGAAGTGTTATTTTAGAGGTGGGTCTCTAATTTACGGGAAGGACTCCTAGAGTATATGACAGCTCAAGTGCCTCTGATGACATCCACTACGATAATGTGGGGTGGGGACAGAGGTGGTTTTTCAGGTAGGTAAATCCTAAACCATTAGTTTAAATTCCATGGGGAAAACCACAGGCATCGTAAAGCCACCTTTTTAGTGTATGTATAAATGCAAATACATTAATAAATAATTCTTAAAAGTGAAACTCGTAAGCAGATGTGCAGGGCGGGGGGCAGGGAATGGGGATAAGCAAACCTGATTTAAACATTAAGTAGTTAGTCCTGATTGAGTAATCATAATAGTGCATCTCTATATAACTTTTAAAGGCAGCTACAGTGCTTGCAAATTCATATGGCCAGTGAGGGAGACAGTGTTTTCCAGTGATAACAGTAGTGGACTGGGAGTCTAGAGACCTTGGGTTCTATCACTGATTCAGCCACGGACTTTTTATGTGAACCTGGGTACTTGTGCCTCACTTGTGTGTAAAAAGATGGTAATAATGATACCTACTTTTGTATATTATTTTGAGATCCTTGACTGAAGGAACCTATATAGGTGCCAGTGAGTTTTATTTATCTGTCAATGAACTCTATCTCAGATCAGGATTGAGCTTTAAATGTCAAATTGTTTCAGACTGGGATTTTAGTAGGTAAATTGGTGAACTCTTCAGTGCCTTACAGTGATAGTTTTTCTTTGTGCACTTTCATATACATTTTGTTAGGCTCCTAACCTGCAATTTATAGTGTGATGCACTGTTGCAGAGCCCCATTGACTTCAGTGGGGCTCTGTGTGCATGTAGCCGTCTGCTTGTGTACTGTCACCTATAGGACCAGAGCCTTAGGCTCCCAATCCTGCAAAGACTTTTGCACCTGTTTAATTTTATGCACTGTGAATAGTCCAACTGAAGTCAATGGGACTGTTCACAGTGCATAAAGTTAAGCACGCTAGCAAGATTGAGGCCTTAGATTGTAAATTGTTGTTTGTGGGGACTGTGTCATCCTAGGTGTCTATACAACATCTATCATATTTTGAGGGACTTCAGTAATAATAACAAACAACCACAGTCATCTGTGTTTTGACATTATCTTTTCATTTCTCTGTTTCAGGATTTTAATGATGCAGGCCAGGATGTAGTTTGCAACTCATGAAATATCATGCTTACTACAGGGGACTATCTTCTGCACCATCAGTTAAGACATAAAGTTCCTCATAAAGAAACAAATACATTCCTCCATCTTTCTTGCACAATTAGAAGTGTAAACCTTTAGTGAGTGGTTATGTGATCTATACTCAGTCATTGGGTATGTATACATGCCTCCTATTAAGCCTTGACTAGTACGTTTGAGAATGAAGGAGTTTAATTAGTGACTACCAAGTACTGCAATCTTTACTGTACATGTTATTGATGATTAATTTTTTTTGTAATTTTCTGATGAGTTATTTCTCTGTTTCTGCCTAATCAGCAGGCATACTGCGAAATATAACGCACTTGCAAGAATATTACCGTCTCATAAGATGAATATGTTTGATGATTAAATTAGGTAGAATAAAGTAATAACAGTCACATACTCAAGGAGAATGACATGCTGATCCTTTGCTTTGGTTTGATGACCTTTATAAAAAACAGAATAGCATTTTAGAAACAATCCAATCTATTTCAAGTCAGTCCCAACATAACAAGGAAATGTAAAGAATCCTCAATAAGCCATATGCTTTTGCAAAATGAAGGAATTTCTCCTCAGTTAAATTAAAAATACCAGCCTTGATCTGAGGTCAACATGACATAAATCACTGAGGTAGCAAAAAATTCTCAAACCTGATAAGAAAACATATTTGCTGCTAAATTTAATTACTAACCTTGATCAGAAATGTGCTTGCAGCCTAGCATTCATATCAGGAAGAGACAGACTTCTGTGAAAACAAAATGAAATATCTGTTGTTTCCTGCATATAAAATAAATCCTTTCCTACCCACATTTTCCCTAATGATAAGCACCAGTTTTTAGCCATATCTTTACACAATGTAGTATTCATGAACTCGTAACTGTTCTTCCATGAAATACAATTGTTTGATGTAGGGCCAGCACAATTCTGATTGAGAACTAACATGCAGAAGATGAAAGATTTGGAACAACTTAGGCAATATTACTCCTTGAGCTGTCTGTGACTAAGGCCCTGATTCAGGACAGTACTTCAGCACATGCTCATGTGCTGTCCTGAATCGTGCTTTCCTGAATCATGGCCTATATGCTTAGTGTTTGGAGAACAGAGTGAGCGAATATGTATTCACACCCAGAAGGAAAAACCCTGGTGCTCCCCTGTCATTCTGTTTGTATCCATGTATTGTAAGCTCTTTGGACTGTCTTTCTCTTCTGTGTCTGTACAGCTGCTAGCGCAATGGGGTCGTGGTCCATGACTGGGGCTCCTTGGTATTATGATAATATGCATAATACATAATAGTAGAATAGTGTTTTCACTAATTAAGTCTCTTCCCAAGAAGAAAGACAGGAGATGAAAAAGAGGTCTTTGTAAGGTATTGGTTTGGTTTGGCAACCTTTGATTCAGGAATTATGGTGGTAAGAGCTGTTGCTTTAAATTAGATATCCATGGCTGCATATATGTATCATTCAGAAGCTAATCAACCTCTCCTATTCTGTGGAGAATCATTTTGGTGAAAAGGTTGAGGTCAGTATACAGAGTTAAAGGAAACCAAGGCCTGCTTTGTTCTCTGTATTTCACAAACTCTTCTACTGTAGAGAGGCAAACGGGAAAGTGCTAGTCCTAAGGGACCTTATGCCAATGGAGGCTCATCATAGGGGAACAGATTCCACCCTTAGCACCCTCTACACTGCAATCAGGACAGCTGGGGCAGGAAATGTTGCTGCCAGCATTCCTCCAGTTCGCTTCCTTCTCCTTCAGCGAAATTCTTTGCTGGTGGGTTATGGTTAGAATCTGGTTCCTTTGTGCAGCTCAGGTGATGTGAAAGGGCTGGAGTATAATGCAAAATCTAGCCTTTAAAGTAAAGAAAATTGTTCATGTGTAATTCTTTTTCTTTTGAAGACTACACAAGATTTCCACTCACCCACATACCAAACCAAACTCTGCTCATTACATTGATTTTTGTTCATCCTGGCAGATAAATCTTGTGTGTTTGTTTCAACAGCGTATTTATGGGAATTTTTGCTTGCTGTGTTGTCAGGAAGTTACTGGGTGGTTCTAAGGAGGACCCTGACAATTGGAATAGAGGGATTTGGGTGGGGGCTCAACTACCAGTACTGCAGAGGTCCTAAAAGCTAGCAGAATTCTTGGGACATTGTGTTTCCAACATAAGGAGCCAAGAGTCTGAGTAATTTGATGCTATCTTTACAGAAGAGTTATTACAGGTAAGCAATTTTCTTTACTAGTAAGCTGAAATTTAATTTGAATGTAGAAAAATAATACTCACTTTGGGATACACAATGCAGCATAAGGTACAGATACTGGTCTAATTAAGTTTGTTTCCCATTATAGTATAATAAAAATAGCTCTGAAACATCAAGTTAGTGCAACTCTGAACTGCATAGCCTCCTTAAGTAGCTGTCAGACCTTGCATCTTTGTGCATGAAGTATAGGACAGTTCCCATTCTAACTTGTGAAATTTGTATTTCTGGAGCTTTTACCAGGTTTAACCTTCATAAACTCAGATGGCTCAAGAAAATGGAATAGAGGGTAATATCTCATGTCCTAGACAAATTTCTTTAAATCACAAGGTCACCTTGTGCCTCAGCAAATTAAAAAACCACAAATTACAAGAACAAATTAACTTAGAAGAAGAAAGGTACAAATGACATAACTACAGAGCACTGAACAGGAAAGCATTGTTGTGTAGCTTCCGGATGCCAAGTACATGTTTAACACAAGATCTTGCATGGAAAAGCTGAACCTGCAGTTTTTTGGTTAGGATCTGTTTATTGGGAGGGAGAGAGAAACTGGGTACGCTATTGACATCTTGACTGAAGTAATGTAAACAATGAGATGTTGGTCTTAATGCTATCAAAGATGAGAAGAGCTCTCAAGTTACAGGTAACGGAGAGATGAACAAGATATTTACTAATTATGCAGAGTTTATTTGACCCAGATATGAGATCATTTTTTTTAAAGAGCACTTGATACTGGTAGCCAGCATTTGATATGGTTGAATAAGGTCAAGATACCAGCATGGAGGATATTATATTTTGGGTATGTTTAATGTGATTTAAACATTTTACACATGTACCCCAGCCACGTTAGAAACAGAACACGTTAGCTATATATATAAAAACCTCATGGAAACCAGATTTACTTACCTTTTTACACTTATTTTAAATGTTATGATTAGAGCTAGCAAGGTCACCTTCCAAGAGTTCATAAAGTGTGAAATATCCTTGAAAAACAGGTTTAACCTTAATGTCACTGCTGGCACTGCTAGATTTGTCAAGAGGTGTTGGAGTGGGGCTCAGGGTCCCCAGACTCTTCTGCAGAGGCTATTGTCAGAAGCCAGCACGGCAGAAAGGAAGGCAGCACATGCCATGCCTTGTTTCAGAGTACAGCAATGGCTGCATGAGCATGTGGTCCTCTCCCTGACAATGCTACTGTGCATCTCTATGAAACATCAAGGCAGTTGAATTTCTCTGGAATGATGTCAAGGAGAAAGTGCATGAGAGTTAGAGATAACTTGTTCTTAGCCGAAAGGAATCCAGTTTGGTCCAGCATTCCAACAGAAGCCTGAGAAAGACAACCCAATATCTATCTTAATGCTGTTCATTTTTCAAATATTAGATGCTAATCCTGGATTCAGAGCCAAGGGTATGTCATTCAACAAAACATCCAAGATAGGCTAGGACCAGTGGTGTGCAGAGTGAAGGGGTGAAGAGGTAGAATTACTCCTTTTTGAGAAACTATGGGTCAGAGGCTCAGCTGGTGTAAATTGGTGCAGCACCATGTAAGTCAGTGCAACTAGGCCAATTTGCAACAGCTGAGGATCTGGCCCCATAACTCCGCATTTCCAACTTTCAGGCCTTTACTCGTTTTAGGGTGGTCTTAACTCAGAGTGTTTTTGGATTTCAAATGTTTTATTTTTAAAGAAGTTATAGCTCTAATTAGAGATGGGTCCAAGCCAGGCCATTTGAGCATCACTGAACTTTTGTAGGGGAGGGGTGCCAGATCACAGATGCAAACTATAATGGATGGTTCCATTCTCTACAACTGGCTAAATCAAAACTCTGGAACCAAACACTCCTGCCATTTGGGAGTTTTCCAACTTTGGATCTGAATTTTGCAGCTCTGACTCATCTATTGATTTGAAAGGTTTGGATTATTTTCCTTATGTTGTTGATACAAGTTTAGTGTTAATCCCAGTTTAGTAAAGTCTTTGGTCTAGGGCTGAGACCTTTGAGTCCTGATTCCCAATTTTGTTAAATAATCAGTAGATCACAACGAAGATAGACTTTCTTTTCTTTCCTGGGTCATATGAATTAATCTGTTCCTTGCCATTGTTCCTTGTTCCATAGCTATTATAGAACTTCAGTCCTTTTTTTTGTTTTTTTTACATGTAGTTTAGAGACAAACTGATTATAACAAAGATAACAGTGGGAAGGGAGGGGCATCTTTCGATATAAAACTATGTAAGAATTTCCAAATATTAAAAAATACTCTTTAAACTCATAGTAAACATTAAGCTTCTACCAAGCAAGCTATAGGAGAACGCTCATTCTTTCTGAGCTGTGATGTTAATCAGCTATTGTCACTCAAGACACATAAGTGGACATTGAGTTATGAGACACTGTTTTATTTGATAAATGACATTTCCAACTAGTATTTAAAAAATCAATTTCTACATAGCAATTGTCATGTTTCACCTTATATTTGAACTGAAGTGCTATAGTGAAACTCATGAGAATGCAGATTATCAATCATTTTAACCTTCTTCACAATTTTTTTAATTCCCAGTTTAGCACATATTGAAAATAGCGGCAGATAAGACCATAAGGATTAGGTGGAAAATGTGGAACACACTAGCTGACCTTTACATATAAACTCTGTTGTTGCAAGCCCTACACACCTGTGAGCTGCAAAAGAAAGTAATAGATTCTTGTGGAAATAAAAAAAAACGTATAAAAATTTTTAAACACACACACCAAGACACCAGCCTTTTAGAATATCTTCTGTGGCAGTTGCTAATAATTTCTGGATTATAATAAGTAACATAAAACACTTTGAATGAGAACAGCTGTAGATACAGGTTTTTGGGTTTTTTTACAGATGCTGTATCTATTTTTGAGCAGTGAGTGCATTTGGAGAAGAAGGGACCCAATCATCTGAGTGCTCAGCTCCCAGTGGCTTTATGGAGGTGCTCATCCTCTTACAGAGCTGGAGTCAAAGGGGGAAATTTAGTTTAGGAAGGGATGGAATTTTGTTTTGTCATCATTTAGACTGTATATAGCCTTATTAGTCTTTGAAGCCACGAGGGATTTAAAATACAGAATTGCTTATGAAAGCCCAACAGCTGTAAGATAGGGAAAATACATGTTCCTTTTACAAGTGGTAAATATATGGGCATAAGTAGGCCAAAGAGCTAGCTATGAATATGACAAGATACTTCTTGTTAATGAAAAAATAGGACTAAAACTATACTTTTGCGGAGCTATATCTGGACTCATTCTGAAAATTAAGTTTCAACTTTCATGTGAGTTTCACCTTAAATTGATCTCTAGGCTTTTCCAATCAATCTTCACACATTAGATTGCTAATTCTGAGTTATAACGTCCATTGACAGTCTACACTATGGATTAAGTGTGAAATCATGCAAATACAAGTCACAAATCACAAAAGAAGAGGTTAGCCTCTGGCATGCTTAGCTGACATCTCTAGAGAAATTTCTCAGAAAGTGCTTATAGTATAGATCTTTGCCAAGATTGAAGTGCAAGATAGCAAATCCCTCTGGTCCAGTCTAACTCTTTCTACCTTAGTGCAGTAATTGCAAACAGGTCAGGAAAATTTGGTTTCTAGAGGAAATAATTTATCAAAACAACTTCAAGTGATTCCCAAAATGGAATTTGGAATTATGACTCTCTGGCTTATTAAAGTATTGATAGTTGTGATATTGACTTGCAGTAGGAAATTTTACATCATATTGTCAAGTAACACTATAGTATGTAGAAGTAAAAGACAAACAAAACAGAAATTTGCTATTGATTTCCTCCCAGAATGAAAACACAGCAGTCCAGATGGTCAGCTGCAGAAAATCAGTGCAGCTCCCTTGTCTTCTGTGGAGCTATGTCAGTGTATACCAATTGAGTATGAGGTGTTTTAAATACATAATAGAAATACATGCTAAATAAGCTTCCATTTTACATTGTGCTGTCAGCCTAAAGTATCCTGAAACATAGGCGCCGACTCCGTGGGTGCTCCGGGGCTGGAGCACTCAGGGGGAAAAATTGGTGGGTGCTCTGCACCCACTGGCAGCTCCCTGCCCCAGCTCGCCTCTGCTCCGCCTCCTCCCCTGAGCGTTCCGCTTGATTCTGCTTCTCTCCCCCTCCCAGCGCTTGAGCCGCAAAACAGCTGTTTCGCGCAACAAGCCTGGGAGGGAGTGGGGATGAGGGGGAATGTGGCGCTCGTGGGGGAGGAGGCAGGGCTGGGGCGGGGATTTGTGGAAAGATCCAATAGGGGCGGGGCGGGCGCAAGCACCCACCGGCACCAACAAAAGTTGGCGCCTGTGTCCTGAAAGTCTTCATGTACTGAGGGCTAACGCCTGCCCTGTGGTGCACGAGTGTGCAAGGCTGGGAACTTGGGAATAGGGAGCCCTTCCCACTGCACACACAGCCAGGCAGCTCCCTCCATAGTTCACAGGACTTGTGCTTGGTTATAATGCTGGAGAATGCACCATGTCCCCAAGCTGTGCCTTGCCAAAATTGACCTCAGGTGCAGGAATTCACTGGCAGATGGTTGGGTGTGCTCATGTCCAGGGCCAGATTAAGACCTTTAAAGGCCCTAAGAACGGAAAAGATTATTGTGCCCCCCATATGTAATTCAAAATAAAAACAATACTATACCATAAAATAAAATTTTATTTTTTGAAATGACACAAAACTTACATGTATGCTGAAATTAAAATAGCTTCTTTCTAGATTTTCTGATTGCAAAATTCTGGATAAGTTCATCGAAGCTGACTCGACGAAGCATGTCTGCTTCCATACACACTAGGGAAAGTGAATCAAGTCTGTCCTGACACATTGTTGTTCTCTGAGGGTTTTTTATTCTTTTCAGCTGAGAAAGAGAGCATTCTGTGGAGCAGTTAGTAATCATCAATGTTAGAAAAATACGTAGTGCGATTTCTACATTTGGAAACACACATTGTATTCCGTCTTTCAGTATTGTGTCATGAAGATCAATGTGACTGAATTTTGTTTTTCCTGTTTCATTAAACTTTGCGTGCATATAACAGTGGAACTGCCGTACTTCTCCACAGAGATTCATATTCAAGTCAACAGGGTATGAGTCAACTAGCTCTTGGAAACCTTGTGAATATTATTCGTCAGATAAGTTCACATCGTTTAGAAAAGAAAATCTATTTGATACTTCTTTGTACACTTCGCCTCTCCTCTTCATATGAGCTTCAAGTGTATCAATTATAGCGTAGTAAGTAGATGCGCAATATTACACAATGTACACTATATCTATCTATCTATATCTATATATATATGAAAGAAAATGAATCAAGTACGTATAACTCAGAAGAATATATCAATAATAAAACAAATTTATTGCAATACATGACAGGATCTGATTTCCTCGCATTATTTCGATCTACGTTAGCAGGACACTCTCCTGGTTTAGGTGGGGATAAGTAATAAAAAGAGAACAGAAAAACGGGGGAAGTGTGTATAGTGGAGTGTAAGGAAGTCTAAAAAAGTTCTGATTTTTCTCATGATGACTACTTCGATACTTTTTTTGAAATATCAAATTTATTTTTAAAAAATCTTTTTTTTTTGGTGCCCCCTGCTTTGCTGGTGGCCTAAGTACGTGCTTATTGTGCCTATTGGGTAATCCAGCCCTGCTCATCTTCCTTGCTCAGAGAAGCAGCAGAAGATTCCAGCCTGTGGATTCTTGTCTTCCACACAGAACTGACCTTGGATTCACCTTTGAAAGAAATGTTTGCTGCCCACCCTTGCACAAAAACTAACGGTAACTGATTCCTTTTCACCAGAGTCCTACTGCTATACACAGGGCTGGCCTAAGGATTTTAGGGAGGGTGGGGGAGATGATGCGTTGAAATACATACCAAACTTAGTAACTCATTTTTGTTACAAATATGTTTGGTATTTTATGTCTTCCCAGCTTTCTGCTGCAGAAATGGAACCCAGTTACTTTCCCCTTTCGGTCAGAGGGATCAATTCATGTCAGTGTATATTTATTTATTTATTATTATTTAGAGCTGTCTTCACTTAGTTTAAAAAAAAAATAACAAAGGGAGGTCCACAGCTTCTGCTGTCACAGGACTCAAGGCCAGTGCTGAGCATCCCTGTGTCAGAAGATGTGTGGATGGCATATATTAATTTAATTTACTGAACTGGCAATGTGTGGGGCTGCACATATGGCACTGGTCTGGGAGGCAGCAAACCTGGCTTCTATTACTGGCTCTGCCGCAGATTTGCTGCATGACCCTGGGCAAGTCACTTCCCTTCTCTGTGCCTTCACTGAGGTCAAACTAGGTCATCTAGTGGTCCTTCAGGCCTTAAACTCTGTGAAACTGGACAGAGTAATATTCAAGCTTATACATATTTATGTATAAAATATATCATAAAGACTCTTATCTACTCCATGGCTGCCCCTCTCTGCACAATTGTTCCATGGAGCAGATAAGGTGCAACCTGTCTTTGCTCCTGATCTCAGGGCTGTGATTCTGGGGAGCCATTACATAGCTCAACCAAGGTCTGCTTTATTCCTCTCTGCTTCCCTGCACTTTCCTTGCATAAGGCAAGGGCACAGTCAAGCCTCAAGGCTTTTGGAGGGGGTGGGACGTGATGGAGGTCAAGGCTTGCGTGAAGGTTGGGAGCTTTATAGTCATTGATTGATGGGTGTCTAGCTGGTATTTGTGGTTAGTTTCTTTGAATCACCTGCCTCCACTGATTCTCCTGGGGCATTTCAGCTTCCATGCCAGCCCTTACTTTGGCCTGTGCTTGGACAGTACAAGCACTCCCTTGATAAATAGCTTTTACTGCGTGCTCTGTGGTGTGCGGGTCTGGGCTCAGACCAAGGAGGGAGCTGGTCCATAGCTGACAGTCCTACATAGTGAACATTTTGCTATCAGCTCCCCATCTTTTAAACTAAGAATGATCAAATTTGAGAGCTTCCACTTATTTGTGGTAATATGGCACAGGGAGAGAGGCATTCCCTCAAGTAAGAAGACCTGAAGCCATTTAGGGATTTAAGGGTCAAAAACTACACTTTACACTCCATCTAGAAACTAATAAGCAGCCAGCGCAGACCACAGAGCACCTTGGCAAATGTCAGGAAATTTGTCTATAAGAGGCAAAATAAATGTTGTCTTTGGCAGGTTTCAAAGTCAACAAAACATGTGCTTCATCCATAGATTTAGGGGACAACGGATTCTGGGAATTTATCAGACAAATTTGCAAGCTTGAAAATCCATCAGGATCTGGCCACTTGCCGGCAAGAATCTGTTTAATTACACTATGAACCTTGTAAGAAATATAGGGTATAAAGCAAATCTTAGTTAAGCAAACTGCTTAGCTGAATACCCATGCCACCTTTCTTTGGGTTCTTTTAGTTTCAATAGCGTAACTATCCTTAGCAAAAGCATCCAAAAGTATAGGATATAAGGAGGTAAAAATAGTGTTGGACTACAGTTTTGATAATATAAAAAAATTGGTTGATATGTTAACTATCCAGGTTTTCAGAATCAAATAATACAACCACAATAGACAATAACTGCTACTTAACCACTATTCTGGAAAGGGATTTTGTTTAGACTTTTGACTAAACGTCGCTCAAAATAGGACCTCACTTGTGTCAGTTTAATTTGTTATGAGCTCTGCAGTTGGTAACACAACAGAGGAAAAGCAATCCAAAGTTAAAGCATAAGACAATTGCTTACATACCAGTTCACTAAAGTCTCCATCCCAATGGGTCCATAGCAGTATACCCTTTTAACCTACTTCCCAAACAAGTTACATTAGCCCCAAGATCTTATTAGCACATGTAGACACAAAGAACTTGAAAGGTTGTCTGTATCTGGTACTGCAAGTCTCAAGCTCAGGCCCCTAGAGCTGCCAAGCGGGTGCTTGATCCTCTACACCATGAAGCTCTGAGGACTAGTTAAGGGTACTGCTGCTAATACACCACCAGGAGAGGCTACAACCACTGACTCACCAGGGTGAGATGACTAACAGAAGACTGCTGATTGGCCTCCTCTTCCTCTTCCTGTCCCATCCCTTGTCTGAGCAATTAGTTGTGTGGCCTGTTGCTGTCCAGACCTCTGAGACTGGGTGCCTGGTTCCTGATACCATATGTTGTCCCTGTCACTATGCCTGATTCCTGCATCCTTGCCAGGTATTAATTGTTGACTCTGGTATTAACCCTGGGTGTGACTTTGGATCCTGACTCTGGCTTTGATCCTTGGTGTGATTTCTGACCCTGATTCTACTCCTGGCTCTAACCAGTAGGTCAGACAGCCTACATTATGGGCCCTAATTGTCCTCTCACCATCCAATCAGGGAATGAGGCATCACCTTTGAGTTCTTGCAGCTGGGGCTAGAATTTTCCAGAGGTTTTTTCCAAAACATCTTGTCACACCTCTTGTGTAAGACACATTAGGCCATAGCTGTTGGTACAATCACCTTAGGACATACATTGAACACTGGCTTGTTTGCTTTGGTCAGCAACTTATCGCTGCAAGTCCTTTTCATGGACCCCTCTGCAGTGCATCCAATAGCCAACTTTGCATGCTATGCTTGGTCAAGTTGCAGTTTCTCCATCAACACTCTGCTAGCTGCTGAAATGTCCAGTTTAAAGTTCATATAGTTTATACAAAGTTCCTCCACATTCTTTGAACTTGTTTTAACAGTCCATTATACAATGCAAAGTCACTTCAAGAACTGTTGTTCTCCAGCAGGTTGCGACAGCTGTATAAATATTCCATTTCTGTTCTCCTTGTTTTAACAACAATGTTGGGATCTTTGTATGTATGGGTGAGTTGCCTCTGTGCCTTATTGATCAAACAGTTACATTTCTGAAACAACTAGGAGTCCGGTGGCACCTTAAAGACTAACAGATTTATTTGGGCATAAGCTTTCATGGGTAAAAAACCCCACTTCTTCAGATGCATGGAGTGAAAATTACAGACACAGGCATAAATATATGTTGGCACATGGAGAGAAGGGAGTCACCTTACACGTGGAGAACCAGTGTTAAAGGCCAATTCAGTTAGGGTGGATGTGGTCCACTCCCAATAATTGAGGAGGAGGTGTCAATACAAGAGAGGGAAAATTGCTTTTGTAGTGAGCGAGCCACTCCCAGTCCCTGTTCATTTCAATTCATTCATATTTCAATTCATTTGCAAACTTAACACTGTCACTGTGCCCTCCTGATTCTGGGCTGCTCTGGGGACTGGACATGCCCTGATGTAACTACAACTTTGGGGGACTTTCTAAGTTATGGCAGCCTCCCTGGAGTTGCCTTATGGACCAAAACACTTCCTGGAATCTCTGTAGCACTGAGTGCTGTGGCCCCTCATATGCTTCCTGCCCTGCCTTTGGGGCTTGTGAAAGGGTCCTTGAAAGACACAGTTGCTGGACTGGGGCATCCTCATCCAGCACTAACTGGGGCATCTCAGGTACCTTTATGCTGCTCTGGCCTTCTTAGGTGGTGTAAAGGGCTAGGGGATGGGGCTGATGATCTCATCCAAGGTCTTTAGTAAGTAGGTAAATTCACACATGCTGATCTGATCTTCATTATTTCGCCTTTCACTCATATATAATAAGGTACAAAAATTCTCAGAGACTGTGTATTTCTTCTGTTTAGAGTTAACTTTGTCTTTACCCCCCTTTTGCAAGTATGTTTTTCTTTTGTTCTCTAGCCTCAGTTTACAAGTTATTATTTTATGAGATGTAGTACCCTACGTAATTAGGTGGCTGCATGAGCTTTATTGCTTGACTTGAAGCAGTCAACACACTTGGTTTCAGAAGTAACCATTTTTTCCCAGACTAGTTTGGTTCCTCTTCGTTTGACATGTTATCTAGATCAGGGGCTCTCAGTTTTTCTTTCTGAGGGACCCCTGAAACCTGCTTACGTCCCCGGATCTAGATAACATGTCAAACCCATAAGGTTTCAGAATGAAAACTGGAATAGCAATGGCATTTTTTATTTTAAAAGAATTTCTATTTACAATATTGCTGCAGCATGTCACATTTGAAGAGGTTCCTGCATTCCATACAGAGGAGAAATTCATACTGGTAAGTACTAGCATGTTTCAACCTCTTAGTTTCAGTGGCTAAGAAAAAATGCAGGCATTTGGAAGCTGTTGAAATACAGGCACAATAGAGATGATGATGGTCTATTGCAGTATTTCTCAACCTTTTCAGGTTGGCAATCCCTTATCCAAAGTCAAATGTTCATGACCCTCTTACATTTACTGTAAATGTTAGAGTAAAACATGTGTCAATGACAGGCCTATCTAATTTATTCGTGTGAGAGTATTTCAAGAGGATGACAGAGCATTGAACCGTGAAGGATAAAGCTGTGAGGGGAATGGAAAA